ACTGACTCTGGACCCAAAGAACTTGTCAGGTAAAGCTAAAGCAGCTGTTGTCATGAATAATTCAAACAAATCATTTAAGCCACAGTATGATGGAGCTGACTTCACAGTGGTAACCTTAGTAAATACTGTCAGAAAAGGGATAAATTAACTATTAGTGACTGAAACTTCCAGTCTTTGGGAAGTAAGAGTTGCTAAATTCTTTCTTGATTAACCTGACTGACAAAACTTCTCACCAAACCCTTTTTTCCTGAAAACGCATAATTTTTGAGACCTTAATAACTACTTGCTATGTTTCAAATGCAACTTAAATTAGAGCTATGAATTACAATGGACTTTAAAGAAGAAAGTTTCTACATTCCCAGAATCAAGCATGCAGTCCAATTTCTTCTGATTTCAGTCCCAGTAGTGCAACTAAATAATCTATAATACTGATGTAAATGTATATAATGCTGTTTAGGTCCTGAACGTACAAATTCCCGCAGCATTAACTTTACACATATGAGTGCTTCTGTTTAACTCTGAGAATTAATTACATAATTACAAATCCTTGTAAGACAGAATTCCAATAATTTTGGAATAATTTTAAACCTCTAAGGTTTCAAATGGATGAATTTTTGGGCCAGAAGGAAAATGTGAGGAATGAGCCAATAAGGAACAAACATAACCTTTATATTGAAGTGTTGACTGTTAGAAAATTGACAAGCTCAGAGTCTTTAGAAAAGCCATTTCTTTAGAATGATACTTTCTTGCCAACAAAGAATAAGATATAAAGGAACAAGTAAGATGTAAGAATTTTTAACAGGAAAATATTAATAACTGTGTAAATGACAGAAATGACAACCAAATAGAGAGAAGGAATTGTGAAAGCAGCCAAGACTTCTAGGCTTACTGAGTCAGAGTACAGCAGCCTTAGAAAGATGATTCTCCTGGCAGTTTCTCACACTCTCATCGACAGTTTTAATGTCAGTTTTTGGGCTGATGTCTTTTTGAAAGACAACATAATCATCTTAAATTCTTACTAGGTGATCTGTGTAATTATTGTAGACCTGCTCATAGTAATCATCTGGAACTTTTTCTGCATGATGAGCTACTCTTCCTCCCTGATCCTGCAACTTCGGACAAAGGACCAAGTTCCCTTGGCTTCACTGGGAGCCTACCAGAATAATTTACTCCTTATTAAAAAAGTTAATTCACTTGCTGGGATTACAGAATTTTTTATAATTCTCTCTCTAAGAAGCTCCAATTAAGTGCCTAATATCAGTATTTGTTCTTCTCCTACACATTATCCTCCACTTGGTTGTTCATTTTCATAGAGAAATAAGGTTTTTTTTACAATTATAATTTGAAAAGTCATTATGTATCCTTCATTTCATGTTATCCAATCACCTTGGATTGTATTACTGAATGATTTTTTTTAATGATGCTGAATTGTGTCTTTAAAAAAAGTCTCTTGTGAAGAAAACTCTCACTTCCACCTCTCTTCTTCTCAGAAATGTTAAATGTTCTATTTGCCAGATTTTACCAAATACGGTTTCCCAAGAGAATACTGAAACATTTTTTTAAATGTAAAAAAGTTACCTTTAGCTAGGTAAATCAGTTCAAAATCTGACTGAGCAATAAGTCAAGTAAATGTATTAATTCCTGATATCCTAATTTCCATTTCAGAACTGGACAGTCTGAGCAGCAGTAAATGTGTACTTTTACCTAAATGAATTTTTTATAAGAATGACCTGGCTGATCTACATGATGTAGTCTGGATGATCTTCTTGACTTTCCTTTCTGTCATTTTCCCCTCTCTCAGCATGATCCTCTCATTTAAGCCTAGATTTATCACGTAGCCTGGTCAAACCAGCACACTGACTGACTCCAGGGTAGGAAAGACTACAGTGAAAAGAAGTTTTTTATCTGAGGAACTTGTCCTGCCTGTGTCCCTCCAGGCTGCTTCCAAAAGGGGTGTTGCTGTTGTCACCTGCTGCTTGCACTGTGTGCCTGCCTAAGGGAACCTCCAAAAGACATTCTTACTAACATGAATTCGTCAGCCCTATCTCAAAACACTCCTACAGATAAGGAAACAGATCAAGACAGATTTTCACCTGTGGATGTTTTTTCCCCTCCGCTTTAAGCATGAGAAACCCCACATATCTGAAGCTTAAGGATATTTAGTTATGTACCTAAAGATTTACTTGTTTTCATTGTACTAGCCTTAGACTTCACTCAAATAGCACTCCAGGATGCTGCTGCGCTACACATAATGTAAGCCTGTAAGTAGATGCTTCTTACTACACAGAACACAAATATGTTCTCTGTGCCCATTCTCAAGAAAAATTACCTTTAGAATTTTTATGGGCTATTTTCATCAACTCAAAGACAGACATTACTGGGCCTAGTATATACTTATTCACAGAGGAAACCATGAGTTGACCAAATAATAGGCAACATAAAGAAGCTTAATACAGAAGGGTCTGCAAGCATTTGGTAAAAGGATTTCTCAAGTGCCTCAGGCAATTGCTGTTGACACTAGGAAGAATGTAGCACTGATTCTCCCTTCTCTACCTGATAATCCTCAGAAAAAACTTCTTTTCCTGAGTAATACATTAATATTTATTTTATGCATGACTTCTATGCAACCTGTCAAACTCTGGCAATTCTATGTGATTAATGATCTCATTCTGTTTTGCCAAACTATGTATCCTTAGATTACATATCCTTACAAACACAAGTCACCAAAGAGACAGTTCTTCCAAGGCCATGGGCTTCTGAAGGGAAGAAAAAAATGCAATTGTCCCCTTGCTAATGGCACCACATAGGGCATGGGAGCAGCTCAGTGCTGCTCATCAGTGTGATGCTGCAGCGTCACAGCCATGCAACACTCTGGCATGAGTTGTCTTACACATGGGCAAACTATTACCCCATATTACACAGAAGAGGGTGGGTATGAAATCTGTTCTCTTAGAAATCAGCAGAAACCTTTCAACTGCGTCCTCAGGAGAAATAATATCTCCTACAGAAATGAACAAGACAATGAAAACCGTCTTCTCTTGTGTCTTAAGGATTTGAACTTAAAGAAAGAAACACATGACAAAATGGTCAATAAACAATGATGCCCAGATTTCTTGTTGCTTAGCAGTTCCAATGGTTTTTCTGACCTTTGAATGTTTTTTCCGACTTTTCTGACCTTTGAGTTTTCTGCATTTCACACAAAATAAAAAAGGAAAGAGAGAATTTTACTTAGTTTCTTACAGTTATTTCCGTTTTCAAAACTATTAATTGGTTTCAGTAAGTGGTCAAGGAAGTGCACTGCAGAAATCCTTCCTGCACATTTGTTCTTTGTGACAAGCCCTTTTACTCCCACATAATTCTTATGTTTGAAGCACATCTAGTTGTCCGGGAGTCTTTTCTCAGTCTGGCCACATTCCTGATCCAATGGGTGGTGGATGTGCCTCCCTTAACACTAACCACGTAAAAACTAGAGGAGTTCTCTCTCAACACAGATTTAGTGTTAGTGTACAGCAAATGGAGGGAGGAAAGTAGCACCATGGACAGATTTGTCCCACCTTGAAAGGCAGGTTGGATGAAGTGCTGTGGATGTGTATGTTACTGCTTTAAAGCAGAGAAGTCTACACTAGTGGTAAAAAAGGCCTGACCAAGCTTTGGATGACCATTTGTCTTGATCACAGCACGATAGCGAGGAAGTAACAGTCTGCAGCTGTATCTGCCTGCAAAATGATAATTTTTACCCCCAGGCCTGAAGTGACTCTTGTTCAAATGAAGAACAAGTTGGGCTCCTGCCTCTGTGTGGCACAATTAACAGTTGAACCCTTAACATTTAGAGGGTTATAAAAAAAACAAAGCTGAAGTGTTCCCATGCATGAACCACCCAGCATAACTGGGTGCAGCACTGACAGAGAAGTACAGTCAGAATTAGGCCTCAGATTTTACTGGCAAGAGCAATTGTACATCTCCTACCCAACACATAGGCACAAGTCTGGGCTCCAATATATTCCAGCAGTACAGCCTGAAAGTACATGCATCAGAAATCTGGATGCAGGTGAGCTGTGGCTCTGGGTAGAAACAAATAAGATTAAAAAACTCTACTACTACAAATTTAGTTGCTTCACAGCCAAGAATCCAGACACTAATGTGTTCAAAATCAGTGTCTGTTATCTGGATCCTAATGGCAGCTGACTTTTTTTCTGCTCTGAATCACCCCAATTCCATCGTCAAGCTAGCGAGCATGTCTGAAAATGAAGATCCCAGTGTGCCGTGCTACAGCAAAGCTTCAAGACATCAAATACAGCATTTGTGTCCCACCAGGGCCCATTAGATTTGTGCCACCAGCACAGCTTAACACTGGTTTCTTTAGTGCCCTCAATTAAATGCTTCCTTCACTCACAATAAAGGCATGCTGACAGACGCAAGATGGGGAAAACTGCTGTCATATGCATCCTGTTGGATGCTACTTTTGGAAGGACGACCATCATTCTAGCACTCTGCAAGTGTTGACCGGTGCAACAGTGTAGGAGAGGCACAGGCATTTGGGAGAGACTGGGAGACTTTTAAGGGGGAGGAGGGGTGTTAAATAATTTCAAAGCGAAGCCAGCCAGCCGAGGCGAGGGGAGGAGCTGGGGTAGGGGCTTCGCTCTTCCCTGGGCCGAGCCTGGCAGCGCGGGAGCGCTTTGCCAAGTGGCAGCCGGCTCTGGCGGCCGCTCGGGCCCGAGCCCAGCGCGGCTGCGGCCCCGCGCCCCCGCCGGGCGGAGCGGGCAGGGGCAGGGGGGCGCTCGGGGCGGGTCAGCTCGGGTCAGCTCGGGCCAGCCCAGCCCAGCCCGGCCCAGGGGTCGTGCCGCCCGCCCGCCGTGCCGGAGGGCGCCAGAGCAGCGGCTCCGTCCAGGCGCTTCCGGGCGCGCCGGGCGGCGGGGGAAGGAGGAGAAAGAGGAGAAGGAGGAGGAGGAGGAGGAAGGGAGGTGTGGGTGGAGGGGAGGAAAGGGGAGGGGAAGGAGGGGTGGAGGGAGGCCGGCTTTTTTAGGAGGGAGACCCTCCTTCGCGGCCGCCCGCTCGCAGCCATGGCTTTGAAGGAGGCGGGCGGCAGCATCCTGCCCATCAGCGACATGGTATCGGGGCCGTCGGGCTCGCCGTTCCCCGAGGTGGTGGAGCTGAACGTGGGAGGCCAGGTGTACGTGACGAGGCACTCCACGCTGCTCAGCGTCCCGGACAGCACGCTGGCCACCATGTTCTCCCCGTGCCGGGGCGGCCCGGCGGCGGCCCGCCAGCTGCCCAGGGACAGCCGGGCACGCTTCTTCATCGACCGCGACGGCTTCCTCTTCAGGTACGTGCTGGATTACCTGCGGGACAAGCAGCTGGCGCTGCCCGAGCACTTCCCCGAGAAGGAGCGGCTCCTGCGGGAGGCCGAATACTTCCAGCTGGGCGACCTGGTGAAGCTGCTGTCGCCCAAGGTCACCAAGCAGAGCTCGCTCAACGACGAGGGCTGCCAGAGCGACCTGGAGGATAGCAATTCGCAGGGCAGCAGCGACCGGCTTCAGCGGGCGGCGCTGGACAAGCGCTCGGGCTTCCTCACCGTGGGCTACCGCGGCTCCTACACCACGGTGCGGGACAACCAGGCGGACGCCAAGTTCCGCCGCGTCGCCCGCATCATGGTGTGCGGTAGGATCGCCCTAGCCAAGGAGGTCTTCGGAGAGACCCTCAATGAGAGCCGCGATCCCGACCGCCCCCCCGAGAAGTACACCTCCCGCTTCTACCTCAAATTCACCTACCTGGAGCAAGCTTTCGACCGGCTCTCCGAGGCGGGCTTCCACATGGTGGCTTGCAACTCCACCGGCACCGCCGCCTTCATCAACCAGTACAGGGACGACAAGATCTGGAGCAGCTACACCGAGTACATCTTCTTCAGTAAGTGCTGCCCGCGCTCCCGTGCCGTCCTGCTCGTCCCCACCCCCAGGGGATGCATGACGGTGTCAAGTTAAAAGTACAGGTGCACCCCCATACTCTAGCCCCTGCTGTCCCAAAGCAACATGAAGCTGGAGAGAAACGTGGGCTGCCCCCTTTCCCCTGTCACTCGTTTCTGTCACTGCCACAGTTCAAGTTCCATTTTGTGCGTTGTGGGGGCGGGACAGGGCTGCCTGATGCCCCGTCCGGAGCGCGGCGTGGAAGTAGCTCCCCCCACTCCGTGAAGCAGCCGGGGCTGCTGCTACCTTTTGGTGCCGAGGGGAGAGCTGACCCCTACGTGTCGGGGTCTCCCGGGGGAAGTCGCGGAGGGTCGGGATCGGGGGGCTGCGGCGCCCGGAGGGTCCCTGCCCCGCTGGTCGGGCGCGGGTGCGGTGCGGGCACGGCTCCGGCTCTGCTCCGGCGCGGTGAGTTGCGGTGCTCCCTGCCAGCCAGGCGGCGCAGAGATCTCAGCGGCGGAGCCCCGAGCAGGGAAGGGTTTTAATATTTTATTGCTGCGTTTTCTTCGAGTGAGCGCACTGCGCCTGGGCACGGTACCCGGGAGGGAAGGAGCAGCGAGGGCACAGCCAACTTCCCGAGGAGCAAGAAAGAGTCAGGCTCTAAGGTGGTAGAAAAATGGAAAAGAGAAAACAAACCACTGCGTAGCCAGTACACAGCTCCTGAGCAACTTCGCTAGTTGGCTGCGGGTAGCCTTGAAGGTTTCGGGTCACTCGCAAATCGGAAAACTGAGCGATAACGAATGAGTTTCAATCTGGCAAAGTATGTAGTGCTATGTAGGGCACTGGCTGAGCAGCGGGTTCGGGTAATGAAACCGCAGCTGGATGGAGAACACAAACCCCTGGCAGAGATTTGTCTTTGAAAGAGAGAGGCAGCCTTAAACATTACAGATGTGTTTGATAGTCCAGTGAGCCGGAGGAAGAGAGAGATGTTGAGCATTCACTTCTTTCTTCTGCCTCTGTGTGGTCTCATGCTCCCTAAGCATAGGAGGGGCGAATTGGCAGAGCATCTGCCTGCCTCTGTGGTGAGGTGGGAGATGCAGCCTTCAACTAACTTCAGTAACAGGGCAGCTAAACATAAGCAACTTGTTTTGTCTGCAAAACTGGACTTAGGCACAGTACTTAAAAAAGGAGGGAACTGTGAATGGTTTTCTACTGGGAGGAGAAACTAATTACATTGTTGGGATTGCTATATATTATAGAGGTGGTTACCACCCTTTGCTTAGCAGACTGAACTACTCAGATTAGTCTTCAAAATGGTATTAAAACAGTTTTTGAAGAGTCATTGCATAACTTATATCTGGTCATATTTCAGTAAGATATGTAAAAACTGAGCTGTAGAGGAGCTTCACATTCTCCTGGTTGGACTTCTATTAAGTATTTTACTATCAAGTATTTTATATTGTTAAATCATTTTTCTGGGAAAATTGGACATAATTATTTTTTAAATAGTAGAAATTCCTTATTGTTATTATCAAGACTATGAAATAGTCTGTTCCATGTGCTTAGAAATAGATTCGTAGGTGCATAATTATTTGTGTGCATTTGTGATGCTCATAATGTTTTAGTTTTTTTTGTGTGTGTCTGTGTTATGATGAGGTTGCTGTATACAGTCCTCTAATTCACATCACTGTTCCAAATTAATCCCTGGTGTAATACCACTGATTTATGTGGAATAATGCCAGGGATGAATTGGATGTTGTACATCATGATTTTTGTTTTGGTTTTTAGTACTCCAGCTTCTGATGTTATGAAAAGTAAAACAGTTATTTAATTATTTAAATTGATACAGTTAACTGAAAATTTGTCTTTGCTTAATGTTTTGGGTGGGTTGGCGGTTGGTTGGTTTTTTTTTTTTACTTCTGAGTGCAAAAAATGGCTGAGATAAAAGTAGACTGAAAAGATGTCGATCGTATTTTAATTTTTGTTGTTTGTTACGCATTTAGAAACCTTTTTGTATAACAACTTTGTACATTGTTGTGTGATCAGATAGATTTTTCTGAGATACAGCGAGATGGAAACAACACTTAAGAAAAATCACCGAAGTGGGTAGAGAAATATGCAAAACACGGTCCCTGAAGTAAATGCTTTAGGAATTTTTTTTTTTCTTTTTAAATCTGACTAGATGCCCAATTGATGGAGGCTTGATTAAAAAATACTTTATTATAATAATAATTATAAAATGCCCTAGATGGATTGGGTGCTTGCTTTTGCCTTGCCCGACTGATGCACAAGAGTCCAGCAAAGGGAGAGCAAACCTTGGAAGCCTTGGTGCTCTGCAACAGGAGTGGGAAGATGGGTCAGGATTACTGGCTGTAGGGTCTCTAACAACACTAGCCAGGATCGTGTTCCTTCCTAGCTCACAAACAAGGCTTACTAGACAAGGAGAAGAGCAGCTGCTTTTCAGTTTTTTTATTTACCAAATGTCCCCATGAACTCCAGAAAGGAGGCAGTTTTGGTTGGGAAGTTACTGATTTCAAGAACTCTCAGGGAGAATGTACAACCCTGGACTGTGTCTTACAGACAAAAAAATATCAAGACAAAAGACTTTAGGGAGTCCATTCCAGTTTTGGCCAGTGCGTGAGGCTTAATTTGGTGCTAGTGGAGAAGAAACCTTGTTTTATGTCCCGCTGGAAAAAGCTGTACCTGCATTTGCATTTGTTATTCACAGCATGAGCTTCTGCAACCAGCAGCAACTGTATTAGTTGTTGATTGGTAAGTCTATAGCAGTCATGTAAACTTTTCTTTCACCGTTTCTCGTGAGGGCTGTGGACCGTTCTGCTTCCTAGTTATGGTAGATAGCAAAGTGATTGGAAACATACATGAAGATGTATACATTCTGCCTGTTTCCTCAGGTCAAAAGTAGGTGAATAAGTTTCTCACCAAGAGCTACTAAGGAATATTTGAAGGCCAGAGGTTTAATTTGTGGTTTGTGAAACAGTTTTCAGGTCTGTTTCTATTATCTCCCAAACTTCGGTAGGTTTTTTGAGTTGAAATACCATCTATCACTTTTCCAATAAAATGGAAATTATTTTATATTCTTAAACATTCCAGCAGATCAAATTCACCTGGGATACTGCATATATATTTAACTAATTTATGAAATGCTTAATATCTAGGGATGGATTAGTCAGACTAATTCTGATTGAAAAACTAGAGGTTGTTTGAAATTGCTTACCAGGAAATAATGCTTCAGCCTTTGGCAACATGTCCTGACAAATACAAAAACAGACTTTCCTTCTTAGTATGTATAAATCCTATAAAAAATGTTACATTCTTTGCCTCCAGTGGTGTTCAAGCTATCATGCCTGCAATGACATCTTCATTTATCTACACGGTTAAGCACATGGCCAGAATTTACCCTGCATCTTGTATTGGTGGCTTAGTTCTGAAAAGTGCTCATGTATCTGTTCCGTGTGTCCATTACAATTCCCATCTCCTAATGGTCAATAAAAGGAATAAACTTTTACATGGTAGTGAAAAGGCTCTATCAGAGTGTACCACCAACTTTTTCCTTTTTTTGTTTGTTTGTTTGTTTTTACCCCCCAATAGACTGCTTCCATGTTATTAATGCTCTCACCTCATCACACATGGGGATGACTTGGGTCAGGTTAACGTAACATGAAATTCATATGCAGTTTGGGAAAGAGGCTGAAACTCTTTTGCTGCTTAGTTTCAAACTGCTGTGGAGGACAATGGATTAATTATCTGTTGGTGTGCAATAGGTGATGGCCTTCAGAGAAGTTGCTTCTAACTGGGTGCAGGAGACCTTGCTTCTTCATGTGACTGTGGGCACTGTAACGTACCTTCTGTTAGCTTGCCTCTTTGTGAAAAAAGGGTGCAACGTACATTGTTTGGTTGGGGTTTTTTTGATTTTTTTGGGGGGTTTTTTGTTTGTTTTTCTGTGGTTCACTGTATCTCTTGGTACTGTTGTGTAGTGCAAGATTGCCTGTGCGTGCTATTACTATTTTTTCTTCTGTGGAATCTAATTGGTCTTAATGGATTTTACATTTAGCATCTGCTATGCAATCTGACTTATGGGTGTTGAGAGCATTGTGCTCAGCTGGAAGCTTTCTGTGCTGAACTGACATCTTTATTGTAGGAAGAATGCAATACTATTTCCTGAAAACTTTGATATGCTTTCTATGTTGACACTCCTATTTCACATGTGAGTTTCTGTTTCCTTGTCTCTTGTTTTTGCTTGTTTTGCATGAATTTATGGTGCTTATTTTCCACTTGAAGTCACAGCACTCTGAGATTATATTGGTTGCTGTGGAAATTGTCATAAACAAGTGATAATGACTTTAATCAGTGGGGAATAAGCAGTTGGAAGCAATGAAGTTTTAGGAGACAATGTGGTATTTTGAAAAAAACAAAACCCAAAACTCAAACAAAATTATGCTACCAACCCCCCCAAAAACCCACCAAACATCAACAACAAAACCCAACCAAAATTGTTTGTGTCATTGCAATAAAAAGGAGAAGAAAACAGAAGGTGATACTTGAAACATAGGGAACAAATGTATGTAAAATACTTTGAGGAGTTTGCTCTGTAAATGCCAAATCCAATTCAAGGTCACACTGGGATAGCAAGGCGATAGTGAGTCAGCAGATAACCCTGAACTGCTCTTTTGAGGGCAGAGTGGTGTAAGAGCCATCCTGTGGGTGATTTCTGTGACCATGCCAAGCTGCTCTCCAGCCATCACTGCTTATTTGATGGAGTTTTTACTATGTGGAGTATACATGTGCTTTTTTTTTTTTTTTTTTTTAATATGGAACAAATATATGTAAGATGTGCCAGGCTGGGGAGAAAAGAGACCAAGGCAAAGGTAAAAAAAGGGTATTGCTTCTCCGTGGCACATTGAGATAAAGTTGAACAATTTACTTTGAGCCTGAACCAGAGCCTCAAAGATTAGAGTACAAATTTGTGGTGGTACAGGATGACAGAAA